CGGCTTTAACCCATTGAGTTCTGGCGGATCTATCATTATTCCCTGGCGCGCTCCCCCTTGCGTCGGCCGGGGTCGGCGGATTGGGCCGTGGTTGGAGTTGTTGCAAATTCGCAAGCAGGCCTTTCGGCGGGCTTGTGCGGGCGCAGAGCCCGTCACGAGGTGGTGTTGTTGGGCCCACTTACGTTCACTATGTAGAATCCCTCATGAATCATGAATCTTTTTGCTCCCCACCTGTCAGGTGAGGGTTGTTAGATTTTATGACAGCTGCCATCCTCCTCCACCTCCTCCTCCTCTGGGCCCCAACCGCCAGCTCCGGATGGCCGTGTTCCCCGCTAGACCTCAACCGCCAACTCCGGATGGCAGTGTTCCCGGCGGGACCTCAACCGCGAGCTCCGGATGGCAGTGTTCCCGGCCGGACCTCAACCGCGAGCTCCGGATGGCAGTGTTCCCGCAAGCTTCGGCTGGTTGTGTTCCCGGCCCTACCTCAAACGCGAGTCAGAAGATGCCAGATAGAACGCCAGAAAGCATGTCAGAAGATATGCCAGCTAGACTGACGGCCTGAGTGTTAGAAGAGATGCCAGAAAGAGCATCAGAAAGAATGTCAGAAGATATGCCAGAAATAATGTCAGAAGATATGCCGGAAAAATGCCAGAAAGAATGTGAGATGAAATAATGTCAGAAGATACGCAAGGAAGAATGTCAGAAGATATGCCAGGTAACATGTCAGAAAGGATCAGAGGACATGCCAGAAAGAATGCCGAAATCATGTTCTTAATACATGCAAGAAAGTTTGTTGGCTTGAATGTGATGGTGCTGATCACTCGAAGTAGAGTAATTGCTCCTTGACCACCGCGCCTCAACTGCCAGCTCCAAATCGCAATGGGATATATATAGAGATATACTTATTAAGCAAGTGCATGATCGCAGTGGACTACCGGACCTCAACGGCAAGTGCCAGATCGCAGTGTGCCCTCCCGGACCTCAATGGCAAGCGCCAGATAGCAGTGGGAGCCCCAGATGGCAGCGCAGACCTTCACCGCAAGTGTCAGATCGCAGTGGACGCTGACACACAACCCCAAACACACAATCACAAACACTCAGCCACGACGCGCAACCACAAACACAACTGCGAACACATCCACAAACGCAATCGCAAACACACAGCCACAGATACAACCACAAACACAAACCACAAACGCAACCACGAACGCAATCACAACCACATAACCACAATGACAATCACAAACACAAACGCGAAGCCACAAACACACAACCGCAAACGCAACCACAAACACAAACGCAACCACAAACTCACACACACAGCCGCAAACGCACAGTCACAAAAAAACAGCCACCAACACAACCACAAACACACAACCACAAACACACAACCACAAACACATTCGCAAACACACTGCCACAAACACACAACCACAAACACAACCGCAAACACGAACGCAATCGCAAACACACAACCACGAACACGCAACCCACCACCGCCACCACAACACTCAACACACAACACGACGCAACAATATAGTTATCTGAGGGTGTGTGGCATTTGCGTGGCAGGTGGTCACAGGGTCGCACTTTGGATGGAACGCCAACTGTAAACCCTGGCGACGCCCCGACGCGAACCCCCCAACACCAAAACAACAACCCAACAACCCCAAATCCGAGGGATTTTTCCACGAGCTTTTGCGCGCAGACTAAATGGGTAAAAACTGTAGCGAAACTGCTGTCCAGCAGCGGCAAAAGTGACGCCGATCACACAGGCAGACAAGTAAGGAGTCAACTGGGAAGACACGTGGGAAGACAAGTGCGGGGACAAGGCAGCAACAGCAGCAGACGAAACGCCGACCGCAGGCAAGCAACTGGGGAGACAAGTGGGGAAGCAAGGCAGCAACGGTTCTTTCTTGGGACTTTGCTTGGCAGCGAAGCAGTTGCGCTGCAGCTTCTGCAGAAGCCACTTGCTGCTGTAGTCTCTCTCGTTGTGCAGCTTGCTGCTCTACTCTCTGCCTCTACCGAGGTTTGAAATAATTGACGCAGATGGCAGTGGAACACTGCACGTGGGAGAGCTGGTTCACGGTTTGTTGCAAATTCGCGGAGAAGTCAAGAAACTTGGCGTGGGCACATATGAAGAAGCCGCCGAAACTGGCTGTGGCCCGGAACGGTTGTGACATTTTATGCTTAGCCACTTCAATAAACCTTTTGTTGCGACATGTTGCGACAACTATTTCAACGCAGGCTTTGATATGTTCAGTTGTGTGCACAATCTTTGCTACCCAGATGTCGAAAGTCCAGGGAAATTCGGTCTTGCTGCCGCTGTCAGTTTTAAGTTAGAAGGAATTGTTGCAAACCAATTGCGCCCCACGCATGAGGAAAAGCGACACTGTCGCGCCACTTCTGGCAACGAAAGCTGTGCAACAGATGGTGCAGGAGCGTTGCCCAACGCATGTTTTTCTTGCATTTCCTTGCACGTTTATCACTAAAGGTAGCCTTACCCTATAGATCGGGCAAGACAATTTATTGCACAAAAAATAACTTTGTAGTTTTTTCATTAAGAAAGAGTTAATTTTACTAACTATTTGTGAGACAATACCATACACTTCTTATTGTTCTTAACAGAAGTTCATACCCACCAGCTATCCATCGGCTAAAACTGCACCAACGTAAAATTTGGCTTCTGGACGAATGCACCCCCAAAGTTCTTTGAGCCTTGCTCCTTGGCTCTTGGTGTCTTCTTGGCGCAGGCGGGCAGTTTTTGAACTGTGCAGAATTCGTCTTACCGACCTCTTTGGGTCTAATTCATTGGGCAGCTGGTCCTCTTTCGGGACTGCTGCTCTGTGCCCATTCAAAAACAACAAAAAGGGATTTGCAAAATCTTCAAAAAAGCATACATAAGACACATCTTCAAAAGCGAAAGAACATTTAAAAAAAAACATTGCAGAGGATGACTCGTGTCAACAGGCAGGGCTTTCCCTACTGCATTCTCTCGTTCTCATTCGAGAGTTGAGGTCACAGTCACACAGAGGCATCCATGTTTAATTCGCGCAATTCGCTCTGTTGAAAGGACCGATTTTAACCTTTCTGGTTTGGTTCGGTTGCTCGGCACTTAACCTTGCCCCTGGGGTACTAGGGGCGAGGACGCGTTGTGTGGCCATGCTTCACTATATGCGGCGGCCCGTGGCGACCCACAAGAGTGTCCTACAAGAGTGTTTCACAAGAGTGTCCCACAAGAGTGTCGGCCAGAGTGTCCCATAAGAGTGACCCACAAGAAAGTCCTTTCAGAGTGTCCCACAAGAGTGTCCTACAAGAGTGTCCCGCAAGAGTGTCCTGCAAGAGTGTCCCAG